CCCCCCCCCCCGGTTTCTTCCTTGCTCCGTTTGTGTTTTGTCGCTTTTCAAGGTGCGTGCTGGTTGTCGGAGTTGTCTGATTCGTTCTTGTGTTGTTCATCTGGCTCTGTTTCGGATGTTGTGTTGGTTTTGTGTTTTGTACCCTCCCCTGCCGCAGGGCGTTTTTTGTTTCTTGTGTTTTGTACGCTCCGTTCTCTCGGGGACACGTGGTCGATTGCAAAGCTAAGACATGCAAAACATGAGTGCCTCCCCGCCCGGCGTTTTTGCTCTCCCGGTGCTAGGGCGATAACCGGACTAGAGGCGTGCACTTTGCTGGAGGAGCTGTGGCTTGGCAAGAACAAGATCACCCAGATCGGTGGCATCTCCACGTTAGTAAGACTCAAGAGGCTGGACGTCCAGAGCAATAGGTGAGTACGAGCTAGTGGTCGTAAAGGTAGCAGCCGTAGAAGTAGTAGCAGTAGCAGCAGTTGGTGTTGCTGTCTTTGGTAGCGGTTGGTAATGCTTGTGTTGTTGGTTTATTCTGGCGTAATGTTATTCGGCTGTCACCTGCTGTAGCCGCTGGCCCTGTCTTGGAACACCGTGTGTAGAACGGAGTTTAGAGGTGCCGGGCAAAAAACTCCAGGAACGACGGCAGCCGGCATTTCAGCGCCGAGCAAGACGATGTTTGGCTTGAATCTACGTTTTATGTCCTCCACCATGCCGTAGTCCAACCCGGATGATGGATACCTCCAAGTCTTGTTTCGCAGATTCCCATGAGCTTTCCCTCGTAAGCGCTCAACATCTCTAGAGGTACAAGCCTTTGACCAGCCCATTCCCGAAACGCCTGTCGTCGCCCGGTTCCTTAATGCGCTTCCCTCCGCGGGTCCAATAACAGCTTTTGCTCACCCAGAAGCTCTGGATGTGGAGAGATGATGAGAGTTTATTGGTATTCGTGGTTCGCGAAAAAAAAAAAAACAAAGGGAAACTAAGTCACCGGACCAAGACCTTCCGCCGTCCCCACAGTCATCCCGCATGTGTGTGTACGTGCGTCGTGAAAATCGTTCTTCGGCATCAGCCCATACTTTTACGCGGCCGCCGACATGCAGCAGTTGCTTCGGACATGGAATCCTGGCGTTCGCGGTTGAGGGGTGTAGCGGGGCGTTGGCTCACCGTGCCGTGCTGAGCCAACGGCACGCTACACCCCAAACCCGCAACAAACGCCGGGATTCCACGCCTGAAGCAGCTGCTGCGTCTCCACGGCCACGTCGAAGTGCGGCTGACGTCGTCGACGCACGTACATACACACACGTGGGGATGACGAAAAAAAGGGGGCCGCAGCGACTATTATAACCGTCCCTGATCTCAGAGCCAATGAACTCGGCCCAGGTGTCTAAGCTATCGATGTACATATGCTGTATTAACCGATGCCCGAGAGGGGTATGAAGAACGATGAAAGATAAAAGGCGATCGCGCGGCTTAGAAATGAATTAGAAGTAACTGATCGGGTACCGAATTGGAGAACCATGGTGGCACCCTTTCAGAAGGAGGTTGATCAACAGCGGGAGGAGCTCCTCTTCGTCCTCCGGGGAGTAACTCGGGCTGACAAATGATGGCCCCGATGTCGTCAATAAAACCGGCATGTATGGTCGCGGTGCACCCGCAGGTAGTCAAAATCCAAGAACGGGACTACAGCGATGGGCTCCGATATAAGATGGAGGGTATTGTGACAAAGGCCCCCGAACCTTTTGTATGGGAGCCTCGCCTCACACCAGTATGCTGTAGAGGATACCCAACTCTATTTTCAGTGGCGGCGTCGGTAACAGAGGGAGGTTTTCGTGACAAAGTCCCTCGACCCTCTCACACCGGGGCCTCCCTTTGTACCAGTACAAGGGGATATTCAACTCTACTTATGGAGGGGTCGAGTCCGTAACGACCGATCTCGACCCTCTGATATGTCGGAGCCCCGTCTTTCAAGGGACGCCCTCCCATCGGAGTCACGACGGTTGAAAATCGAGCTGAACACTGTGCCCAACACGAACCATGATCAATTAGTTTATCATGCAATGACGGACGCGTCTCGACTACTTCTATTATACCATTAGTGCAAGAGGCATCCTCCCGCCAGAAGTACGGCCGCGGATACCGTGGGTTACGTAAGATGTCGCCCCCCCCCTGGATAGATTTTCATAGCTCCATTACTCGACGGAGGATGTGTAAGTCGAACGATGCGTCTTCGGAAGGCCTCGACGAGAGATGGTTCCACTGCCGCCATATTTTGGCACCGCCGTTCTTTGTGCTGCGGGGAAATCGAGCTTTGAAAACCAATCGTGCAGGGGGCGGCGTTTCTTGCGTCATGTCGCCTACGGTACGCATTCGGAACACGCAACAGTCTACCAAAGACATACCGGAAGATACCCCGAAGATATACGTCCGCGGTACGGTCACTTTCGCTTCTCGAATAATCCACCACACACCAGTATAGCAGTACCACACTGCGGTAGGCCTTGGTGGGGATGACTTGAGTCCATGTGACGAGTACCCTCCCTGAGTGATCCTACAAATCGTCACGAGGAGCTACGAAGCATCGCGAAGAAACCCTTGCGTACGGGAGGAGCGGGGAGTTACCCTTGGCGATGCGGTGTGGGCTTCCCGCACGCTCCCTGGCGCCCTTTTCCAGCGGAAGAGGAAAAGTCGTTGGATTTGTGTTTTTTTGCCGAATCACCAAAGCTTGGCCAGGGAGAACACGGAGACGTGCTTCGTTTATTGACCATCTCGGTCCAACCAAAGCGCGTTGCGCCTTGTCTGTCTCTGTTGCTCGCCCATACGTTCAACGGCATCCTAACCGCTTTCTTCTCTCGCCCTTGCCGTGGGCATGCGCCCCGTGACCGAACGGACGACCCCCGCGACAGGCTGACCGCCATCGAAGGGCTGGAGGGATTGACGGAGCTGAGGGAGCTCTACCTCTCGCACAACGTCATCGATAATGCTCACGGACTCGAGTCGCAGGTGATCAAACAAAGAAAGAAGCACCACGCCACCTGTTGTTTTGTTTTGGTTCTCGCTGGCATTTATTTCGCAACATTTCCGCCCAGGCTTTCACCACGGGCAACGACTCTGCTCATGTTTTTTTTTTTTCCCAGGTGATGATGTTGACCTTCGCATACATCGCTCTATGTATGTGTATGTGTTTTTTTTTGCGTGATCGATGTATCTTGCAATATTTTTGTAGTTCACAACGTTGCCCTGCAGACGAAGGTTAGCACGCGTCATGCTACACAACGTTTCTGATTTTCATCCCTTAGGCTGGTACACGTTGCGTCCAGCCAGCCGGTGAATTGGCGGTCGGTGCTGGACGTACGTTCGCACGGCACACACGTAGACAGGGGTCTACGGAGGGAGGGGGGACGGGGTACCCTTGTAGCCGGCGCGAATCCGCTGAGTGATGCCGATATCTTGTCTTGCACCACCCCACCCCACCCCACCCCACCCCGAAAAAGAAAGCATTTTTTCCTTTACCCCCCGCTGGTGCGTCAAACGTGTACCCAAAAGCAAAAGATGTACCGTAGGTGACATTGATGTTAAATACCAACCACCCTCCTGGACCTATGCTCGAAGCTCAATTTGTCCACAGCAGAAAGAGGGGCGGTGCCGGACAAGGTGGCGTTGAAGTATTCTCGTCGAGAGCTTTCCGACAACGGATGGTGTCATTTGTGTCATGCTCTTCGTCTTGGAACAATCGAGCTTTGAAATCGGTTCGGGGGGGGTGGTGTCTTCTGTCACGCACGATAGACTGGCGCGGGAGTCGGTGGGACGAGATACAAAAAATCTCCTCGACTCAATCATGCAAACGTGGGGACGGTATCCCTGTATGGCGATGCTTCTTGCTGTGCGTCTTGGCGAAAGTGACATGGTTATTCGTATGGGTAATACTTCTTCTTGCTCTGCGTCTTGACGCGGGCAATGTGACAACGCCGCCTTTGCTGTGCGTAAGGGACAACAGCTCCTCTTGTTTTTCAATTTCTCGTCTCTTTTCGTCGGCACTACAATATATTTCACAGACATCCCTTCGCCCATTCCCTCGGCACCGTGGTCTACACATCTAGGGCTTCTCCCGTTAGCCAACCAATCACTACTGCTGTCTTTCTCGTGATCGTCCACAGTTGATGCCACCAACCACAAGAGGGATGGTGCTTTCGTTTTTTTCTATGGCTCGCGACTCATCATGTGGCACTTTGTTCAAGTTGGGGTGCCGTTTGTCAAAGACTGCTGCTGTGATGTGCACGTCCCCGCGGCTGGCCGAGGCTCCCCCGCCTTTTTTTACGTCCCCCTCACCAGTCGACCCGCACGCCGCCCCTTGGTCGAAACTACGATAGTTAGTTATGCCCCGTGTGTTTTATCATTTAAGCTGGTGATCAGAGAGAAACCAAAGACGGCGCTCCCGTCTGGTCCTGCTTGCTTCGTACGTTTGCCTGTGCAACAGTTTGTCTCCTATACCACTATTTTTGGGGCGACAACCACCGGTACACACGCGGACGGGGTTGTGCTGCTGGTGCCAAATATAATAGTGTCGTTGTTGGTCGTGCGTTGCCGGTACATTTCGATGATGCATACCACATAAAAAATCGCCGGCCTTCGCGTTGCGTGTCCCCCCTCGCCCCATTTTTTTTTTTTTGTGAAGGTTAACTTGGACACGCTGGACCTGTCGAGGAACAAGATCGACAGCTTCGACGGCCTCCAGCACCTGGGTCAGCTCACAGACCTTTGGGTAAGAAAAATGTGTTCGTTCGTTCAATGATGTGCACGTTTTGGATTTTGTTTTTTGGTGATGATCTTGTTCTGTGGTCCGGGTCTTTCGATTGCCTTCGTTTGGTGTCACCTGCATGTGTCATTTCTTGTGGTGTATCCTCTCGTGCGTTCTAGCACGTGGAAATGACCCCTGGCTTTTGTTTAGTCTTCCTCTCTTCCAGTTTCCTGATCATCCCCCTCCTATCATTGGCCGTTTTTCGCATGCCCTTGTCGCCGCCTGGTGGTGTCGTGTGAACGCTGATATAACCGTGGTTGGATATGTGCACAGACGAGCGTTAAATGCGTGTTGATGCGTGCGATTCGTCATGGGTGTTTTGTCGTTTCGCTTGTCCTTTCCAGATGAGCGGCAACCTCATCTCCACCTTCGAGTCCTTGGATGCCCTCAAGCCCCTGGGGAGCTTGACGTGCCTGTACCTCGAGCATAACCCCCTGTACACGTGAGAAGATGTGTTTCTTGTCTTCCTTCCCTCTGTACCGCTGTTGTTGATGGCGTTCTTGTTGGTATGCATGCCTGCCATGTGATGGCGAAGAAGACTCCTCTCCTCTACCCGTTGCGTTTGGCAGTCCAACCGGTGCCGGTGTGGGAGGCACGAACACCTGTGGCCGTAGACACAAAACCTGTGGCTGTAGACTCCAGACATGACGGCAGCCGTAGAGCTGTGCGACGGCATGTTTACTCGTGATCGGTACGAATAGTTTGGCGACTGTGAGACGAAACATCCACCTGTAACAGCAGAGCGTGGGTTTTTGTTGACGTGCTTCACCTCTGGCAACCACCAACTGATGCCGCCCCCCCCCCCCCCCCCCCCCCCCCCCCCCCCCCCCCCCCCCCCCCCNTCTCCCGTCCGCCCCTGAACACGGTTGCTACTCCTCTACCTTGCGGCGATGCATGGCGATCGGTTAGTGACTTCGAGTACCGCAAGAGGCTGGCGGTCGTGCTGCCGACCCTAACCCAGATCGATGCCACGGCCGTCGCTCGCTGATGACTTCTCCACTTGGCTCTGCATAGCGCACAACGATTAGCCTCATCCTGTTGTTGTTGTTGTTGTTGTTGTTGTTGTCGTTGTTGAAAACAGGCTAGAATGATCCCGAGCTTCCCTTTTGCAGGGTCAACGAACGCTCCCGCGCGCGCGGGGCTTGATTTTTTTTTTTGTGTTGAGATGTGATTATTCAGCATGACGACGATGATGCCTCTGCGCCGTGGGCTCTCCGGCTGTAGAGCGGCGACAATTGAGATTGTCCCAGGTGATTTTCATGTTGTTGCCATGATATATCAATGAGAGCGTTTGGAGCGAGGGGGCGAGGGGGGTCGTCATTCCGCGTGGCTTCTTGTAACGCGTTCACTTTCCTGCCCTAGAGAAACGATTGGTTTTGTTGAGAGGAGCGGTTGGGGGGGGTTATGGTCGTGTACGTCCGTGTGACCCCTTGTAGCATGACCAGGGAAGGAAGTTACAATAGCACCTTCCCTGGGGGGTGGACATCTGCCCCCAGTTTTTTGCCGCCTGTGATGTGCGGCGTTTCGCTGTCGCGTGTTTTGCTGCCGCTCTGGTGTGCAATACCCCCCCCCCCCCCCNCCCCCCCCCCCCGGCTGGCATTGTTTCGGTGACGAGACGAAATATTTGATAATTAGAGCTACGTATGCATAGTGTAGGTTGCGTATTTAGTCATCATGGAGGTGGCGGTACGCCCCCATTTTGTGCATAATAACCGTAGATTGGACAGGCCATACCCGGCCTACCAAAGCTGGGGGGCATTTCAATAGCAGGAGGAACCGATCGCGAACATTCCCGCGTTTTCTTGTGCAGGACAGTAGAGCAGTCGGGTGTGGCCCAGGGTCTTATCTACCGTAAAGGGAACGGCGTGTTCGATCTGCTTGGCGTGTGTGCGCTCTATTCTGGTTCCTCGTGACCTGCGCGCTTCTTGGTTAAATACCTCCAATACACCTGCAAGACCCTAGAAAACAAATTTGAGTGTTGTTGTCACAAACTGTGACAAGTTAGAATGTTGTCGGTTTTCAAGAAGTACTTGTTTTGTGGCGTTCCGCGCCGTGCACGAGGATGTCGTGTTGAAAAAATGTGAAATCTACACTCCCCGCACCGCACCGAAACGGTTGTTGATCGTCGCGGGCACGGCTCGCTTTTTTCCAGGGTATTTCACGGAGCGGCTTTTTTCCACGGAGTGGATCGGAGCGGAGCAGTTTTATCCGCTCCGCTCCGCTACGTGATACTTTCCCCCCAGAAGAACCGCTCCGCTCCGTGAGAGTTCTGCCCTCGGATAAACCGCTCCGCTCCGTGGAGCTTCCAAAAAATCCGTACACGCGGTTGTTCCATGGAGCGGTTTGAGCTACTCCGTCACACGAGCACGCATAAAACCGCAATACAGTCACGGGTAAAACCGCAAAAAATCAACGGTTTTCCCACGGAGTCATGGTATTTTTTCGTTTTTTTCTGTTATTCTATTCTGTTGGGCATGTATTAGTTGTGCTGACAAGTTCCAACGAGACGCAAGTGAGGAATCATATGCTGGTAAACGTGATGCAGGATCGTATGAGTCGAAGAGACATGTATTAGGTATTAGTACTGACAAGTTTCAACGAGAGGCAAGTGAGGAATCATCTGCTGTTGTACGTGTTGCAGGAACGTTTGCGTCGAGGAGGTATGAGGTATTTGTACTGGCAAGTTTCGACGAGTGAGGAATCATCTGCTGTTTTACGTGTTGCAGGAACATAGGAAGAGTCGAGGAGGTATCGATGCGGGGAACGGTCCTTTCCTGAATAATTGATTGATTGGTCTGTCCTGGCGGCGAAGACGAATACATACGGTGTCACCGGCGGCCTCAAACCACAGCACACCGTGCGGAAAATCGCTATTCGGTGTACCAAACCCAACGTTTTTTTCGAAATTGGAGGTGCTCCGTCGATTTTGTACGGATATCCGTGCGGTTCCGACGGGTTTTCCGACGGAAAACCGTCCTCAAGGCCACGGTTTCGCGCGGTTTATGCTACGGAGAAATAAAAACCGGCCCGAGAAAAAAAATGCACTACGGATAAACCGCTCGGTGACATGAAAAAAGAAACCCCTCCGCTTCGTGGGTTCTTTGCCCTCGGATAAACCGCTCCGCACCGCTCCGTGACATTTTCAAGTGAAATAAACCGCTCCGTGGAACTTGAAAAAATAAAAAAATCGCTCTGCGGAGCGGTTCTACTCCGTGAGTTACCCTGCTTTTTTCCTTGGTTCAGAGCTTTCACGTGTTTTGGGCGCAACGAGAGCAGCGAGGATACAGTCTGTGGATGTCGTCGGTGTTGACCATGCCACCCGCGCTGCTCGCACAATGATGCATGATAGGGGGGGGATCTTACCGAAGCACATCAACAGTTTGATAGCCGGTCACCCTTGGTCCAAAACTTGCAAAACCTTGAATACTTCCGACGACGTCGTAGTAGTCGAAACATGGCGGTGGTTGATTTCTTCCCACTATTATTATCTCACACAGATTGATTGCAAAAACAGGGTCGTATTTAGCTGTCGCGAGTGAGTAAGTTCATTTGAGCGAGCAAAGACAAAATTACTGCCGAACCCTTTCGCGTTTGAGGGAGCCGTGCATCACAGATCCTTGTCTGTGCGACCCGGGTACAGAGAGGAGCTCTACGACGAGAGGAGAGGAGAGGGAAACACCGCCGCACGGCGGTGCCTGCCTTCGTCTCGGGAAAACCTTCGGTTGTAAATAGTAGATCGATTTTTGAGTTCAAGTTCGTCCGAGCTATCTGCTACATGCGCACTGCAGGCAGGGCAGAGGACCACGTGTGCTTGAAAACCGACCTGCCTTTTCACCCAAAAACGAGTGACAAGAAAAGGCGGCGTTTACCGCAACCGGCGTTACGACCCCCAACACCGCCGCTCTCTGGCTCGAGGTACGTGCACCAAAGCGCGCGAGAATCCTCCTGTGTAATGATAATGAAATCACTCATCATCCCTCTCCCGAAGAGAGCCTCGGCAAGCGAGGTTTTCACACATGTGCTACTACTGCTCGTCGGTCAGACCACTCACACGGTTCGCAACGCTTGGGTTCAATAGATCCACCACGCCAAGGAGAACCAATTACGGGGGGGCACCACATATCAAACGCAAAGAATCCTAACCCGAAAAACACGACCGTTTGCCGTCGCTAGATCCAGCACGCCGAAGAGGATCGATCATGCACACCACCTCTCACAGACCATTCGAAACACAACGCAAGAATCCTCACCAGCACAACTACGACCATCTGGTCCACCACACGGAGGAGGAGCACGGGGGGGAACCACTTCTCACAGACCATACAGTTATGGCGACCGCACGTGAGATCTTGGCAGTTATCTGAGGGACGTTGATGTTGTAGCTGTTAAGGAGTGTGGCTGCTAGCATGAATAGGGTACATCTTATTCTTGATAGGATGCGGGTCGGTCAGGAGGTATGCCCTTCTGACCCCTACCCCCTTAGAATTGTCTACTCTGTGTACCCCCTGAGATGAAGTTGAATCCCCACTTCATCCCAGACCTTTGCTGATCGTCTCTCAGCAATAACAAGCAACTTTCCCATCTCAACGTGGTCGTGGACAAGCGTGTCAACGGCAGAACCTTCATCTATCTCTAGGAGCAAGCTACCGCCCACGGCATCACTCCTTGAAACTTGGCGTCAGCGGCAGGATGCCTCCTTGGAACAAGAACAGCTCGATGGCTCGGTGAGACCCATCGTGTACATCAGCCGCGCTACTCTTCCTGCGGAGGGTAACTGGACCGTTTTGGATCTGGAGGCTGGTGGCATTGTTTGGGCCATCAAACGCCTTCGCGGTTATCCGTGGTCGACCAAGTTCATCATCTACTCGGACCACAAAGCCTTGGAGAGCATTGGCAAGGTTGGGAACACAACGCTAGGATGCAACGATGGCTCGAATTCCTGTCCAACTTCACCTACACGCTGAAATATCGGAAAGGTTCGGCAAACGGCAACGCGGATTTTCTTTCGCGGTTGCCTTTACCAGCACAAGACACGGACAAAACCGGCCCCGACTGCATTGATGGTGTCGATCAAGCGGGTGTTTTCCTCATTTGGGCTTGCGAGCGCAACTATCACTCGTCGTCTACACCGGAGGTCGGTTTGGGTGGGCTCCGCCCTCCTTGCACAGCAGGAGTCTTTTCGCCCCCAGCGTGCAGCCCTCCGATTTTGGGGATTTTCGCCGACATCACCCGCGTCGGTTGGATGCTCTGACGTACTCAACGATTGCCTACGAGAATTCTCAGCGGTCCCCGGGGGTCTTCATCGTCTCCCCTGTTCTCGCATCTTCAGGGCCTGCTTCCTCATTGACTTCGGATGTGTCCCGCGTGATGTCTCTTGTCGCGTCTTTGGCGACTAGATATGTGCACGTATTGTCTTCGCTTCCGGAGCAGGGACCGCTCATTTATTCACGGACTTGGGCCAAAACTACCGCTGTTTCAGGAGGCACCGTCACCGGTCCCGCTTATTTCGGACGCCAGCCGCGGGCTACCATCGTCCCTCGGACATCGTCGCCTGCCCGTCGCTCTAGCAGGCCCCGCTCGACAAACAAGACCACCCGGACCGCCGCGCGTCTGCTGCCGCCATCCGCCGCAACGCCGGCATCGGCGTTTTCGTGGACTGCTCTGGTGCCACCGGTGTCTTCGCCGTCAGCGGCGCACCCTGCATCCCCGACTTCGCCTTCTCTACAGGTTTCGCCCGGGACTTCGCCACTCACGATGTCCCCTTCGCGGACATCACCACGGACTGCGGCTGCCCCAGTCGCTGAGGCTTCGCCTTCTTCCGCCTCTTCCGTTGGATCGCCTGATTTTTTTCGGAATCTTCTGATTTGGACACCTCCCACTTGCGGGCTTGTGCTCAGAGTTTCAGCAGTGCACTGTGGACAGGGCTAGGGAACAGCAGCGGGAGAGCGAGTGTGTGGTGGCTATGCGTTTTTTGTCTCGCGGTTCTCCCTCCTCACCCCCTCCGGGCTTGCTCACTCTCTGTGCTCCTCTTCGCTCCCCTCGGTAAGATGATGTGCTTGTGTTGGCGGCGAAAATCAGACTGCACACGATTGATGACAACATCACCCTCCTCGTACATCAATCGGCGACGTCGCCGGTTGGGCCCTCTGGTGGCAGGACCACTCGTCTGCCATATACTGGCGTGCCCCGTGTCTACGTGCCAATACTGATGCGTCCGTGGGTCCTTCATGCATGCCATACCGCCGCGTCATTCCATCTCGGCGTCCATCGTACACAGCGTCTGCTCGAGCGCTTCTACTGGTGGTGGATTGGTTTGGATCGTTCCGTGCCCTAGTGGCTTCGTTGGTGTGTCAAGCTCGCAAGACTTCACGTCAGATTGCTCGGTGGCCCGTTATCGCGATGTCATTGCCGCAGGGGCCTGGTACGGTCGTCGGCGTCGACTTCTTCGGACCTCTGCCAGTGACTGCCAAGGGCAACTCCTACATTTTGTTGTTCACAGACCGTTTCAGTCGGAGAACCGACATGTTCGCAGTTACAGCGGCGGAATTTACGGCGAGAGGGACGGCTCACATCTTCGTCAACCAATTTCATGACCAAGTGGGGATGTCCGACTACGTTACTGTCGGACAACGGACTGCATTTCTGCTCGAAGCTCTCTTTGGCGATCTACGAGGTGATGAAGATCAAGAAGGTCACCACCAGCTCCTACCACCCACAGACCAACGGCGGCACGGAACACGTCAACCACACAATGGCCCAGATGCTTGCGGTGGTCGTCAACGAACAGCAAAACGATTGGGACATACATCTCCCGTACGTTGAGTTTGCCTGCAACAATTCCGTGAACCAGTCTACTGGACTAGCGCCAAACGAGATCCACATCGGACGCATCCCGCGACTCCCCCTTTCGGTCTTCGATCATCCCACGGTAGGTGGTCATCAAAGCTTGGCCCGCGATCAACTCCAGTTTTGCAACCTGGCCGTCGATCGCCAGCGCCGGGCCTACGAACTTGTCCGTGAGTACAACGCGCTGAAGATTTCGCGAGTCGAACGCCGAAATTCATCCCTGCTGGACGCCATTCACAAGCTCCCTCAGGTCACCGTTGGCGGGTGGGCTTGGGTGTACAATACGGCTGCTACAATTCGACAGGGTGTGTGTGCAGAAGGACACGGACCAACAGGTGCTCAAGGCCAAATTCGCACTTTCCTGGACGGGGCCCTACAAAGTTCTTGCGGTGGGTCCCGCCTCTGCCGACGCCACTCCGGACGGCCGCCCGTTGGCGCGTAAACTCCTCTACCTGGACCTGCCTTTCGATCTTTCCGGCCCGGCAGCTCGTTGTCGCGTGTCTGTCCTTCGTTGCAAGCCCTGTCGCAATCCGTACGAGACGGGCGACTTGCCGCAATCTCTGCCCGCCGAGCTTTCGCGTTATGTCCTGCACTCTTTCGGAGATAAATGTCCACCTTTTTTCCACGTCACCGCGGATGATGTGTCGGTGCCTGTCGGGCGCCTCGAGGTCGACTACATCTCGGGACATCAACTGGTGCGGGGCCGTAGCGGCGTTCTCGCTGTCCTGTAGTACCAGACGCATTGGGTAGGCCTGACTACTCCTTCATGGGAACGGCAATCCGACCTTGATCTATTTCGTCGACACATCCTCTTGTACTGGTCCTGGGAGGCCTGCCAAAGCAAGCAGGGTAACCGTACATATCGAGTGGCTCGGACTCGCGCGGCACAGCGGGAGCTAGCCCGGAATCGTGGAGAACGCTATTTGCCTCCTGGGTGGGGCTGATCTTGTGCTTAACGCGACTTGGCTTCGCCGTTTCAGCACTTCGCCCCTCCCTGTTGGCGCGTGGCTGTGGTACAAGGCCCGCGATGGATTGTGGTGGATCGGACGTATTGGTGCTCATCAGGGCGGCTCGTACATCGTTCGATTTTTGGATGAGCCGGGCCCAAGCGTTCTGCCTTTGCCTGCGCATCTCTACTCCACCGCCTTGGACGCCGTCTGTGGATCATGGNGTACCAGACGCATTGGGTAGGCCTGACTACTCCTTCATGGGAACGGCAATCCGACCTTGATCTATTTCGTCGACACATCCTCTTGTACTGGTCCTGGGAGGCCTGCCAAAGCAAGCAGGGTAACCGTACATATCGAGTGGCTCGGACTCGCGCGGCACAGCGGGAGCTAGCCCGGAATCGTGGAGAACGCTATTTGCCTCCTGGGTGGGGCTGATCTTGTGCTTAACGCGACTTGGCTTCGCCGTTTCAGCACTTCGCCCCTCCCTGTTGGCGCGTGGCTGTGGTACAAGGCCCGCGATGGATTGTGGTGGATCGGACGTATTGGTGCTCATCAGGGCGGCTCGTACATCGTTCGATTTTTGGATGAGCCGGGCCCAAGCGTTCTGCCTTTGCCTGCGCATCTCTACTCCACCGCCTTGGACGCCGTCTGTGGATCATGGTGTTTAGAGAAACATCGTTCGCGCCCTCTGGGCGACAACCGTGGTCGCACTCCGCTCCTTGCTGACTCCTTACCGTCGGCTGTTCCCACCGTTTCTTCTTAGCGTCGTCGTTTTCATATACTAATTGGCCTATTTTGGTCTTTTGTGCCATCCTTCTCGCCGACGTTTTGCTTCTGATTTTTTTTTTTTTCTGTCACCTTCCGTTTTATTTATTTTTTTGTTTTGTTTTTTTGTCTTGCTTCTTTTCTTTCGTTGGCTTATTTTTTTGTTTTGGACGCTGGAGCAACGCCGCCTCAAGACACGCAGTGTCGAGTGATCCTTCTTCATTGTTGACTGCATTCATCTGAATCAGTGAACTGCCGCGACCTGGATGTCCGTTCTCTCTCGCCTGCTTATTTTTTTTTTTGTTCATGTTGGTCTTTGGTTCTCTCGAAAAGCTCTCTCCGAAGTTTTCGTCGGTGTTGTCTTCCTCTGAACACTTGGAAAAAGAGTTCCCCAAGTTTCGTCGGTGATGTTTGCCTCGGGACACTTGGACACCGAGCCCCCCGCGTTTTCCTGGTTCGCCTGTTTGCCAACTAATGTTGTCTTATTTTTTTTTTGTTAGTTCCATCGTGCCGCAGAAGTGTTGCATACGCTTGGTGCTTCGGGATTCCATCCCGTGGCGTCGCCTTCTCCCATGGACTTTCTTTCGTCGTCACCCACACTTCGTTCTGCTTCGTCTCCATCATCGCCACCTTCGGGCGACGCCTTCATCACAGTAGCGCCCCTGAGTCGTCGTCTTGTTGTGTGAATCTCTACGAGTCGCTGTGTTTTATGTCTCTGAATGGTGCGTATCGCCAGCAAGCCATGGAGCAGTTCGTCGACCGCCGCTCTTGCGTCAATCACTTGTGCTTTGCAGCCTTGGTCCCCATTAGGTCTTGCCCCTGCCGTCTCCTAATACGGGTTAGGTACCTGGCACGCTGGCCACCGTTCTCCGCGCCTTTGCCTATCGTTCTTTTCTCCTGCCCTTCGTTAACGTCCTAGATTGCTTTGAGTTTTCCCTTTGCATCGCGTCCAGTATCTATCAAAGGCCGTATTCGTTCGGAAATTTGTTTGGGTTTTGAGTTTCGTCGCCGTATTTTGGACTCGCTCGGGTAGTCACCCTCATTCCTCCAGCAGTGATACGCGCGGGTGCGCGTAAAAGAGTGGTGTGTGGCGTCTGGATATTGATTTTTTTTCCCTATCGTCGTTTGTTCAGGATGATAGCGTGCTCTGCCGCAATACATATTCTTCGTAGCTTTATCCCTTCAAGCGTTGTCATTGAGATGTCGATGGTCCGTCTCGTGACCGTTCGCATTCTTCATCTCTATGATAGTGTGGGGGATCAATTCGGGATATTTCTACAACTCACCCTCCTTTTGGATGTTTTGTGCAGACTCTTCGATTCATGATCATAAATCATCAGCTAAAATCTTATTGTAGCTTAAGACTAGGATTTGAGCATTGATTTGAGTATAGAATCTTCATATATGATATTCAGGGTGGGCTAGTGTTAAGGAGTGTGGCTGCTAGCATGAATAGGGTACATCTTATTCTTGATAGGATGCGGGTCGGTCAGGAGGTATACCCTTCTGACCCCTACCCCCTTATAATTGTCTACTCTGTGTACCCCCTGAGACGAAGTTGGAAGTTTCATCCCAGACCTTTGCTGGTCGTCTCTCAGCAATAACAAGCAACTTTCCCATCTCAACGTGGTCGTGGACAAGCGTGTCAACGACAGAACCTTCATCTATCTCTAGGAGCAAGCTACCGCCCAAGGCATCACACCTTGAAATAGCCTCGAAAGACTCAACATCTATCTAATGAGAATTTGAGCACCATATGCGAGCTATTGTACGTTAAGAGCTACTACACCAAAACCTTTTGTCTTAGCGGCCATTCGAAGCTAGGAACTTGTACATGTAAGAACCCCGGGCTTGGCAAACAATTATTGTGGAGTGCGGGCGCTCTCTGCTAAAGTACATACAACGCAAGAATCCTAACCAGCGAACGGCGACCGTTGCCGTCATCGCCACCCGGAGGAGGAGCTCTGCTCCCACGCGGTCAAGACCAGCTGGCACATGACCGCCTCCGGGACGCTCTTCAACAGCAACATCGGCGGGACTCGCGTGTTCGGCCGGAAGTCGCTCTTGCTAACGCCGCCGCCGCCGCCACCACCCGTGCCCGGCCTCGAGACGGCCACCGTCGAGTACGGAGCACCCGGCAACTCGCCGCTACCATTGGGGCTTGCCTGGTTCCCATTCGTCAACCCGCCGCCGGCTGTGGTGTCACCGGCACTAGCGGATCCCTCCGGGGGCGGGGGCGAACGCTGCCGGGACATGGATGGGTGGAAACAGCGTCGTACGGCCGGTGGAAGGGTTTTGTGACAGGGGGTGGCGCGGCTCGCGCGTGTGAGAAGGATAAGGGGGTGCTCATTGGTCAAGTACATTGGCCGCTTCGTCTGTCTGTAACCACACATTCATCTCTTTCTACAGTAGCGCCGCTTTTCTTTGCCTGGAAGATACGCCGCCAGCGTATAGCGAAAAATGACTAGATGGGGTCGTCTTGCGTGGGCCGGGAAAAGGACGAAGCCAACATACGTTTGGTTATGAGGGTTGTTGCTGGCAACGAGGTGATGCGGGTGGTTTGAGGTGACAACCTGGCACCCAGATCTGCAGGTCCGTGCACTGTTATATGTGTAGGCCGGTCTGGTCGTGTGCGCAGCAGCGCTTGAGCTGGCGGTCCAACCACGAACGGACGGATGTGTGAGGGTGCATCGCATGCATCTCCACCAAGCCAGCAGGAACTGGTCCAGTAGATAGCCTGAAAATACGCCCGTCCGTCCGCCCTCGAACCACGGTATCTACTTTCGGCCTGACCCGTCAGCCGCCTTCTTCATACCGTATCATGTCGTGGGACAGGTTTTCTCACCGTGAGTAACTCTCGGGCGTCGTCTACGGTGAAAAGCGCCTCCGGGAGGAAAACCCCGCGGCGGTTTCTCCCCGGGCCCTTTCCTATCCTGGCGTCACCGGCGCCGCCACCACCGTCTCCTCCTCGGCCGCCCGATGACAGCTGCATTCTGGACTGATGAGCCGCTCGGACCTACGCACGCGTGGCATTCGCACGCGCGGCGCGCGATGCAGGCATCAGAACTATAACGGGGTGTGTGTGCAACCAACCGGAGGAAAAGAACGCGCTTGAGAGACTTCTTTCGCAACGCGGTCAACAGAGCCATTTAGCTCGGTACGCTCCCTCGGAAGGACGGAGACGTACATAGAGAGGCAGACAGCCGGAAGGAGGAAAGGGAGAGGTGGGGGAGGAGAGGCCGTTACCGAGGCGAATCGAGAGAGCGGGAGGCGTTTACCTTCCCGAGAAGGCCCTCGAGCAACCGGCGCTTGACGTCCGGACGCGCGGAGCGCATCTCCAGCTCCTCCTGGGCCGACTTGAGCCGCAGCGCCGCCACCGTCTCCATCAGCTCGCTCACGCCGTCATCCTCGCCACCGGTGTCACCCCCGTTCTTGTTCGTTCGCCGCTTCCACCGGTTGCCCCCGGCGGCGGCGGCGGGGGTTGCCGCGGCGACGGCCGCAGCACTGGTCGAGGGGCGCATGAGTTGCCGGTGGACCTCCAGGTCGGCGGCGGCCTCCTCTTGCACCTGCTGCCGCACGCGTTCCGCCAGCCTGCCCCGCAGCCGGCCCTCGCACTGGCTGAAGAAGAGGCCGAGGAGCAGCAGTCGGTCCCGCGTGACGACGCTCACCCCCTTCACGTATACCTGGCACCTGCATTGAAGGCACGTGTTGTTATTGATTTGGTAGGGGCGCTGGTATTGGCGCAGCGGGCGGGGGGAGTTGTGGTAGAGTTGACGATCGTTCATGAATCTGCAGCGACGCTGTCCTCGAGTTTCCGATGACAACAATAGCCACTTTAAGAGTAAGTAGTGGCAGGGTTTCACCCATCGCCGCCTCCTCCTCCCGACTAAGAGGGCCGGACGCTTTGTCTGGGCACCGTTATCGAGCTCCCCTCTACCCGGGCACGGCACACCTCCAACGGCAAGCCGGCACCGCCAGCACCGCCGACGCCGCCGGCGCTCCACCGCCCCAAAAAACTCACCGCATAACCTTCCTCCGAAAGCGGTAGATGGCCTTGATGTTCTGGCTGAGCCTGGCGTCCTTCAGGAAGTCGTAGATGATCACGCCCCCCTCGCGCCTCCGCCGCTTCCACGTTCCGTGCGCCCTCGGGATCCACGCCTTGAGGCAGCGGATGAAGTTTCGCCTCCCCGATCTGTCGCCGGCGGTGGCGGCCGCTCCCCCAGCCACGCCGGGGGCCCCTTGACGGCGGCGGACGAAGCGCTGCACCCGGGCCACGCTAGCCTCGAACACGTCCTGCGATTCCTGCAAGGCGAGGGGTTTCGCGCCCAGGAGGAGGGGAGGGTAGTGAGGCCGGGCTTGGTACTCCACCCCGGCCGAGGGATTGTCGAGCAGGCCACGATCGTGGAAGAAAAAGGTCTGTAACAGTTATATTGGCTTTCACATACGTGTTTCCGTTGGAACGAGAGAAACCAAAATTACCTCCGAACCGAGACCGCAACAGCAGCAACAGCAGCAGCAACAACAACAACAACAAATGGATGTTTCTGCCCAAAGCTCGAGAGAGCTGAAACAAGTAAGCGTACGTTTTTGTTCTCTCCAAAGCTTGAGAGAAGTGCGACTACCGTAAACGTCGGAGTTTTCCCCCCTAATAGTAGAGCCCCCCCCCTCTCCCCCCATTACCTTTTCGGCCTGGAAGCATGGTTTCTTTGTTTAGCCCCGGGGTAGATCGTTTTCGACCAATAAAAAACAGATCCCCCCGGGTTTTTCAAGTTCCCCCCGGGGTACCAATTTTCCCACGAGTTCCCCCCGGGGGGGATGTATTTTCCATATTTCTGAGTCGATTTTGTTGCATCGCGGAGCACAAAAAGCATGATATGGGGCGGAAAATTCATTGCAGATCTGCGCTTCGAGCGAGATGTAGGTGGACCGTTTGTCACTGGAAGGCGGGCCCTTCCTCTTCTTGGAATCACTTGCGGAACGAGACAACCCCCCCCAGCTGCTGTCCTCCTTGCTGTCTTTTTTCTCTTCGCCTTCGTTGCTCTTACGTTCGTCCTCCCTCTGGTTGTTGAACGCTTGCTCGTAAACCTTATCCATCTCAGTTTCGCCACTCTCTGTTTGTGTGGTGTGTGGACCATCATCATGTTGCACANGGTTTCAGAAAAAAAAAAACGATCCCCTCCCCAGGGGGAAACTCCGACGTTTACGGTAATTAGGGTACTGCCTATTGTTCTCTCTCTCTCTCTTAAGCTTGTGAGAAAAGTGAGTCTTGGTAGTGTACCTTTTTGTTTTTTCCAAGCTCTAAGCTTGTGAGGGAACCGAGAAAAGTAAATGAGGGGGTGTACCTTTTGTTCGATGAGGCCAACCAACGCCTCCGCGAACTTGGCCATTTTATACTTTCGCTCCTTCCAGTCGTTGCGCCATCGGATGGCGGAGTGAATCGCGACGACGGCGAACAAAAAATATCGCTGCCGTTTCTCGAGGAGGGCGGCTTCCTCCAGAGCACGCTGCACACAGCAGATAAAATAAAGCCGGGGGGGGGGGAAAAGGCCCGGGTTACTCTTCATCCGTTGATATGCTTGCGACGTATTTTTCGTTCGTGCCTTGAAGGAGAAAACTTCGCTCTTCTTCTGGTCCAGGCCACGCAATAACACGTCGATAGTTCGGGGACGCTTTGGATAGGATCTTGGAGGGGAGGGGGGGGGGGGGGGGGGGGGG